TGTACAGGTGGGAAAAGCATAACAGATCCATCCAAGTTTTTAAGGAGGGAAGACTATCTGCTACAGAGTCCCTACTTTCCTAGTTTGCCATTTTGGTGAAGATCCATTCCTAGCTCCTCTGCAAGTGTGTCCTAAGCCTACACTATATCCTTAAAAAAAATGTTTGGTTGTTTCCTGTTGTAGTTAGGCTAAGTTAAGCTTCCATAACAGATAAACCAAAACAAAACAGTAATGACTTCAACATAGTTGAAGTTTCTTTTGGCTTGTAGAACAGTTTAGGGTTGCCGATGGTGGTGCAGGGATGGGGACACTGGAGATGAGGAGACTGGATATCAGCAGTCATTCAGGAACCCAAGCAGAAGGCAACTAACTCTATTAATAGTCTTCAACACATGGTTTCCAAGAATGTCTGGCCTTTGCCATTTCAGCTGTTTTCTACAATTTGAAGATGGTGTGATATACCACAGTATTTCTTGGATAGATGAGAGGTAGAATTATTTGTTACTCATAGCTCCAAATGAAGAAAGGCTTCCAGGAGGGACCACAGAAGGGATTGTATCTGGGATAGAGTAACAGAAGGTGGAGCTATAGGGTCATCTACTACATGGTGTAGTTAGCCCATTTCATGGGCTTCCTATGGATTGGCTAATCTGAAGAATTCTAAAGGGCTAGGACATAGGCTTGGTCTTATACAGGGGTCCTGGTTGGTACCTGGTACAGGTGTGATTACTGATGGTCTATGCTGATGCCATGATGCCATATGAAGGCACAAAAAGTAACATGGCTGGTAAGTGGAGCTCCAATCACCTGCTCAAAAAGGAGGGATGATGAGCACCAGCCTCTCACCAGGAGCTCAAACATGGATGATATATACATATATATATATATATATATATATATATATATATATATGATTTTTTAACATCAGCCCATAGGAAAGGAGAGTAAGGTGTATGTATGAAGGCCAGGCATGAAAGCCCACATTTATTCTGCCCACATTCCATTAGCCAGTATGATGTCCCGTAGCCAACTAGTCATGTGGACTTGCATAAATGCAAAGGAAACTGGCAAATGTAGTCTAGGGCAATTGTTCAGAGTACAGAAATGGATAACCACCAAAAGGCTATAAATAAATCTACAGGCACAGGGGTGCCCCACCTTCTTCCTTTGCTCTCTTACATGATAAGCGCCATCAGCGCTGTGATGTTCTCTCGCTTTTCACTCTTTTCTTTGCAATTAATTCTGCATCCAGTGGGCTTCTTAATGGACAGGCATCTCACTAAAACACGCCTGAAGTGATTTCAGTGTGCAAAGATAGCCACCACTTCAGGGCCTGGCATAAATATCTGATACTTTGAATACAATTTCAGTTAGTTAAATTTAATCACTGTGGGTGGGGGAGGAGAACAGCTAAAGAAATAATGTCTGCGCCTTTGGCTTTTTATTGAATTCAGAATTGGATAAATATTTTTACTAACATTAAACTTTGGCCTCTATATAGCAATGTTTGGTCTTTGGAGTAAATCAAACATGTGTTGCTAATGAGATGGTTTAACATGGTCATCACCTCTGGTCAAATTTTCCACTTCAGATGACTGCCAGGTAAAGGCAAACGGGTACTTTCAGATGCACTCTAAGTAATTAATTATATTAAAATGTTATTCTTCTGACCTTTTCCTTTTGTTTCTTTTATCATCTTGACTTATTTCATGGTTTCATAGATTCTTCCCTTTTAAAGCACTGTCAGGTTGGCATGAACATTTTTTTAAAAGGCTAATGCACCATGATGCCAGGGGAAAGGGTAGGAAGGAAACAAACCTCAGGGATCTCTTACTCAACATCCACCCAGCATTTAGCAGGGCCTCAGAGATGTTCAGCCACACTGCAAATCTACAGAAATGCAGAGATATCAACCCAGGCTTCCAGAAGCTCTCAGTGACAAACCCAGGCCCACGTTTCTCACACAGCTAATTCTTTATTCGCATACCCAGAGTATTTCAACAAATTTGCTTTAAGTTTTAGTATATGCCAGGCATTGCTCTGAGGGCAGAAAATACAGACCTGGATAAAACAAGGATTCTTGCTCCCCAGAGTTTGTATTCAAGAGGCGGGTGATGGCAATAGTTCATCTCCACTCCTCAGTCCTCCAACCCAGAAGTGACTTCTCTGACCGGTGAAGTTCCCTGAGCCTATTCTCTAGCTTTTGACAGTGCCACTGTGTGTCAGATATATGAAAGATGGCAAAGAGCAGAGATTAGGCTTAGCTTTTGCATTCACTGTGCCTAGGACGGTCTTAATAAATGCTTATACTGCCTGACTAAACGAATGGATGTGTCTTCACAGAGGTACAACCAAGACCCAAGGATGTGGAAAGTCTTCCTTTCTTTTCATTAGCCAAAGTTGACAGAGCAGTCAAAAGCCCAGGAGGGCTTGAGCTGATGCTCAACTCTGCGTGTTCCCTCTTGGTGTGAGGACTGTGGTGGAAGGGTACAGAAGTGATTACCATTGTCTTTGGACTAACAGTAAAACTTGCCGTGGGCTTTATACTATGAATTTTCATCCTCAAGGGAGAATTTTAATTCTATGAGGGTCACAGCAGTAGACTAGATGTAGAATACTTAAAGGCATGCTTGGGAAATTATGGACTATGCCTTGTACCTAAAGGGCAAGTGTATATAGGACTGTGGGGATGTTGAGGTGATACCAAGGAGTTTTTACTTTATTCAAAAGACCATGATGAGTCATTAATCAAATGAAGTATCATAAGCAATTATATCAGACACTGGTCTTTAAAAAAGAATGAAGGTAGAGATGAAAGAGGTTGTGGGGACAATAGATCAAGAAAACAATGGGCAGGCCAAGTTAGGAGTAGTGAAATGTGAACAAGAGTGATGTGGCCACCAGAGGCTCTGAGGAAGGGGACGGTGAGATCTCGGGGGTCACTGTGGGATGAAAAAGAGGATGCAGCTATAACATCAAGATTTAGAGCAGCACATGTCATTAATTAATTAAGGAGCCAGAGGCAGACAGACCTCTGTGAGTTTGAGGCCAGCCTGGTCTATATGGTGAGTTCCAGGCCAGCTGGTTATCAGTTTCTTTTCCATCTTTTGGGGTCCAAAAATAAGGGAAAAAATGGAAAGGAAGCTCCATGTGAATGAACACAAACTCAATGAGAGGCTTATGGAGTTTGAACTGATAAACTCCGTAAGAAGATATCCAGTGGGCGGTTGGAAATTTGAGCTTAGGAGCTGTGTGAACAGCACAGGGCGAGAGAAGTGGGCCCCAGAGTGGCTCCGAGGCTGACTGTCAAAACCACAGAATAGATTCACCTTTGTGGGGAGTGTACAAACAGTACAGCGGAGGCCTTGGAGAGAACATTCAGAAGCTGTACTGCAGGGGAAAGAAGGGGTTGATGGGGGACAGCATCCAGAAAAAGAAAAGGAGCAACGACTCTCAAACAGTAAAACAATCACCCAGCAGTAGTAACATGGCTACCTGGCCCCTTCCCAGAGAAGCAGGTGCATTGAGGAGAGGGGCAGGGGAGGGGCAATTTTATGTTGCCTTGGCATTCATTTTAAGTGCAAGTTTAACTTTCTCTTACCAGAAACAGAGTTCAGTCCCCCTTGGCAGATTCCAAGTTAACTCCACATCTAAATGGCTCAAGCTGGTGGCCAGAGACAGGAACTTAGAGGCATCCCTCTGGCCTGGTATTCCGGGCTTATCACTTTTCTGAGCTCCTGTGGATTCCTTTAAATAGAATAGTCAGACATTTGCCCTCAAATCCAAAGTGATCCATACAGCAATTCCCATGTAGACTGCCCTTCCTTCCTTCCTTCCTTCCTCCTCCCCCTTCTCCTCCTCCTCCCCCTTCTCCTCCTCCCCTTTGTCACTGTAGCACCAATGTTTGGTCCATTGTGCTTCTTCTGCTTCTCCTCCTCCTCCTCCTCCTCCTCTTCCCCCTCCTCTTCCTCTTCCTCCTCCTCTTCCTCTTCCTCTACCTCCTCCTCCCCCTCCTCCTCCTCCTCTTTCTCCTCCTTCTCCTCTTCCTCCTTCCATCTCCCCCATCTTCTTGACCTCTGTGTGACCTCTGCGTGCCCACCCTGGCCAGGATCTTTAAGAATCTTTGACCTTGTTTCCTGTTGTGGCACATTGAATTTTCACCTTCCATTTGAAAAACGAGGGGCTACTCTAGGGTGGGTTTTACCCAAGGAGCACAAAAGAGTGGGCTCCCCATGTCAGAGCAATGGCAAGGCCAACATAAATAGGATAGCAGCCAAACAGACACCACAAAGACACCTGCCAATGTAAATAAAGTTCCCATGTAACAGGCAGAAGAAATGGTAATAGTATTCTGTGAAAGCCACACTGTATGCACTGGCTCCAGCTCCCCTTCACTCCTACTGGGGTGGGGATCCTTTCTGCTCTGGTACTGGAATTCCAGTTTAGTTGAGACTCTCAAGGTATGAGGTGTAGGAACATATCATTGAAACCAGACACCCTCTTTATTTTCCACTGATGTATAACAAATTATTCAAAATTGACCCTCTTGAAACCCTCTGAGATTTTTTTTATCTCAGAGTTGCTATGAACGAGGAATCTGGCTTGGGCTATCTCACGAAGTTGCAGGCAAGTTGTCTCAGAACTGTAGTCATTTGGGACTTAACTAGGGTTAGCAAATTCATCATATGGCAGCTGACTTTCTCAAGAGCAAGTGATTCAAGATAGAAGGCAGAGATGGCAGTACCTTTTTTTGGTCCCAGCCTCAGAAATCACAGTTGTCATCTTCTCAAACTCCTATCACTTACATGGAAGAATCTTTGTCCGTAGAGCAGTAGCATTTGGAACAGTGAGGAGGTAAAATCGTGGACGCCACTGTGGAAAGGCTGGCATCTGTGTGCACCCTTCAGGGTACTTCGGAGGCCAGTGCTCCCCAAAAGATGGAAGAGAAACAGAGGAAGTCATGGAAGAAAGAAATCCAGCCTAGCATGAGTTGGACCTCGATGCGAAACAGGACCAAGAAATCCAGGTGAGGCTGAGATGATGCCATTGGGTTTCAACTCTGGGCTATCAGTCTTGACCTTCTAAACTCTAAAGCAATAATTCTAGAAAAACACGACCTTTTAAAAAATGCAACCCATGGTAAGAAATTTGTCTTTTACTTTGCCATCTGGTACACAGTGTAACCATATATAGAAGGAAGCACCTAATGAGTTAACATGTACCTCTATCACAGGGAAGGTACACATTTTTTATCTCTAGTCTAATGTATTTTGGTTTTACAAATACCCATCAAAACCCACTGAGGTGCTGGGTGTGGTGGCACATGCCGTTAGTCCCAGAACTCAAGAGGCAGAGGCATGTGGATTTCTGTGTGTTCAAAACCAGCCTGGTCTACATGGTGAGTTCCAGGCCAGCCAGGGACACATAATGAGACCCTGCCTCAAACAAAACAAAACAAAACAAAACAAAACAAAACAAAACACCAACAAAACACCACTAAACTAATATTGCTGGTCATTAAAATATCTTGATCTGAAATCCGGAAAAGCATGATGTAGGGATCAGATAACAATGAAATTGATAATGATTGCCATAACAATGGCAATGTTACCGTCTGGGGATTTTGATCGGGTGTGAGTTCTCTTCCGATTAAAGAATTAAAGGACAGGAAGAATCTCAGGCATAGTTGACAACAAACTTTACTAAAAGTAAAGAAACATGTGCTTTTACAATCCAGGGCTACCTGCCTACCTACATTGGGCTGGACTCAACAGTAAAGAAAATGCCTCCTGACACACCCACAGGCCAGTCCAATAGAGAAATTCCCCAACTGAGATTCCCTCTTCTCAGGTGTGTCAAGTTGACAACTGAGGCTGTCCAGCACGTCTTCCAAATTCCCTCCCAACTTGTGAAGTCTTTCTTTCTGTGTGAGTGTGTGTATGTGTGTGTGTGTTGGGATAGGTAAGGAGGTCAATATGGGAGATACAGGATTAGGTGGTGGCCTGGGGAAGGCTCAGAGGCAATCAGGTAGTGGCTTTGGGATGGGATGGGACAGTTTCTGCCTTGTGTCATACAGGAAACATAGGTGAAGGCCCTGACGTGTGCAATGGTTTGAATAAGCATCCCCCAAGGGTTCATGTGTTGAAGACTTGGTCACCACACTCGGTACTACTGGAAGGTGGAGCCAAGTGGGAGTAAATTAGGCCCCTGTGGTATGACCTTGAAGGGAATGTTGGGATGCTGGCCCTTTGTTCTTTTGTTTCCCAGCCATTATGAGCTGTGGTTGTTTGGATGAGCAATGCCCCCCATAGGCTTCAAGTTGATGGCGGGTTGTAGAGGTTTAAGGGGTGCAGCCTTACTAGAAGAAGCATGTCACTGGGCGTGGGCTTTGAGAGCTCATAGCCTTGCTCCACTTTTAGTATGTCTGTCTCTCCTGTGCCTGCTTGAAGATGTGAGCTCTCACCCTCTGCTCTAGCCACCTCTGCCACCTTGCTTCCCTGACATGATGGCCTCATCCCTCTGGAACCATAAGCCAAATAAACTCTTCCTTTTATAATTTTCTTTCATCATGGTGTTTTATCACAGCAACAGGAAAGTAACTAACACAGTGAAGTAAGCATCTTTATCCACCATGTACTCTCACCATGATGTACTGCTGCCTCACCATACATCCCAGGACAGTGGGCCAACTGCCTATTGATTGAAGCCTCCAAAATTTTGAACCCAAATAAACCTTTCCTCTTTTTAAGTTGATTATCTCAGGCGTTTTCTTATAGTAACAGAAAGCTAACCCAAAGGATAAGATGAGGAAGCCGATAATCTCAATCTTTTCTAAAATGTAAGGGGCTAAGAACAAGAACAAGAATGAATGTGAAAAGGTATTTTCCAGGACTTGAGTTAGAAAAGAGAGACTGGAATTCACTGTGGCAGTGTATACAGATACATAAATAGCACTGGTGCCCATCAAGGGGGCTCAGCCAGAGATGAGACACTGAATTTTTAAGTGTGTCAATCATGTATTCCATTCAAAGTTTTACCAAGGGCCTCCAGTGTGCCTGGCCCTGGAGGTGCACTGCTAAGTGGTGGTAACAAAACGGCAGTGTGGTACAGTCTCCTGTGTGACTTGCTGCAGGGAGACTTGGCTAATCTTCACAGACTCTCCAAGCAGAGGTCTGTAATGGATTCATACCACAAAGAGAGGACCTGGCACTCTACAGGAGCAGTGAGTGTGTACAGTGGGGGGCTTTATTTGGCAAGGGAGGGCCGGGGGGCACTATACCACACAGAGAGGAGGACAGTTAATGGCCTTTTTCAGCTGTGTGACCATACAGAGACCAGGAAGGTGGACAAAGGTGCCTTTGTAAGGTTCCTGCGGGCAGAAGTGATTTCTAAGTGCCCAGAGAGCCACCCCCAATTGCTGAGTTTCTACTTCAGCCCTGCATGTAGGTGGCCTTGAGTGAAAAAGAACACTACACACTGCCTGCCGAGAATGCTTCCATAATATAATAAGCCTGCTCGGAGGCAAAGGCTGGATTGTTAGCGGGCTGAGGGGTTCCTGCCCTACTGATAAGGCCAGCCAAGGATTCACAGTGCCCCACACATTATAATACAAGCACAGTCAGCAGTCACAGCAGACCATCCATCACCACACTTCCACTGTGGTGCTTTCTCCTCTCATGTGGACTTTCCTGGAAAACAAATGCTCTTTGAAGTTAAAAACTCCAGGCTCAACTTTAGCAAAACAGGAAAGAAAACAGAACTATAAAAGACATTTTTAGAAGTTTCAACAAAAGTACATTCCTTAAAAATAAAAAAAGTTGTTCAATATAATGCTGATGTTTTTGATGTTAAGAAATACCTCCAAACTGGATGAGCTATGTTTAACATCATAAGCTTGATATATTTAAAGCAAATACTTTCGTCACATAGTTTTGTGTTTCTGTGCCACTGTTGAGTGGTCTGATAACTGTGGCTTAGTCCACATTATCCCCCTATGGAGCTGAACTCACTTTGAGCTCTGAACATACTTTAGAGTTCTTTCTTTCTTTATGAGAATTGGTTAACTAACTCCTGCTTATAATTGGGTTCAGGTTATAAATGTGAAAAATATTAAAATCCTAGACTGCAGCAGAACTAGAAATGTTGAAAATTTTCTCAGCTCTGGTTCACATGCTGTTTCCTCTGCCTGTAGTGTTCCTGAGGGAGAGCTGATGGCGGAAGCCAGACGCTGCGGTGGCAGACAAAGTGTGAGAACCCAGTTCTAGTTCTGCTCCTCTGCCCACTGTTGGCTTCCTAGACTCTAGAATTACCTCTCGGTGCCTTCAGAAACAGCAGGCCCAGCTCTACAATGTTGTGGTCACGTTTACACATGAAGCACTCGGAACAATGTTTCAACACATGCTCAGTGTATATCAGCCATCATTTTTAACACATATAACCTCTCATCCAAATAGAATATTTGCACTGTGATTGTTTCCATGGCAACTTAACTTTCCTATTTCCAGGTTCTTAACCCACTATTTTCTTTTTCAAAAGAAGAAGTTTATAGGGTAGAATTTTCATGCTTAGTGCTCTATTAGCATAAATGCATCATAAGTTTCTTTTATTTTTCGCCCTGGATATTTACATTGTTATTGTTCTGTGGTTCAGATGTCTTGGGTGAGTCCACAGGGCACTGCAGGTACATGTAGGTCTGTGTTTTCATGTGGTAACTCAGGGGCATCTGTTTTCCTGTGTAGTAAGGAAATTAGTAGAGATGGGACATAAAAGCCATTAAATCCTGTAACAAAAGGTGTACCATAAAGCTGAATTTTGAAAATTGATAACTTATCCTATCATCCAATGATTTAACTAAAAAATACCTTCTGACCTAAATATTATTGTCTTGAAAAGATGATTTCAGGGACTGAAGAGATGGCTCAGTTGGTAAAATACTTCTTTGCAAGTGTGAGGACCTGAGTTTGGATGCCCAGAACCCACATAAAAAGCGATAGTGTACACCTGTAATCCCCAGAACAGAGAGATGAGAGCCAGAGGCAGATGGATGCTGCAGCTCCCAGGCAGCTAATCAAATCCACCTGGAGAGATTTCAAGCCAATGAAAGACCCTGTCTCAAACAAAGCATGGAAGGCACCTGAGGACCACTCAAAGTTGTCACACACACACACACACACACACACACACACACACACACACACACACACA